GGGGGGAGGAGGAGAGGGGGAAGCGACAGCAATGTGATGACGTGTGCGTGTGTGTGTGTGTGTGTTTTGGGGGAGGGAGAGATGGGGCCGTGTGAGAGCCGAGTCTTAAGAGTAATCTGCTCGACTGGTACTCGATCCACTTTTGCCGTGCCACGTCATAGCAGATCTAATATTTCTATTATCTGTGTATCTGTGTGTGTGAAAATCTCTCCCTCCATTCCCCTTGGCGGGACGGGGCGGGGCTAGGGCGCTGCGACCACCTCCCCCTTCCTTGCCTTCGCTGGCGCTGACTGCCGCTGCTACTCGCAGCGATACAGTACTACACCGCCGACATCTCTTCATGCCACGTATACCTGCCTTTTATGTACGTGCCAAACACCCTCCCTCGTCCCCCTCGCCCCCCTCGTCCCCCGCTCCACCAGGTACCCCTCTCTGTTCGGTCGTACTCTGGCGGTGGGTGCCGTGGGGGGTGCGGGTGTGGCGGCGGCGTCCTCCCTGGACTGGGCGTCGGTCAGTCGGGGGGCGGTGGGGCTGGCGGCCGCCATGCTGCTGACGGACCGGGTGCTGCCCCCGGGGGTCAGACCCAGCGGCAAAATCAGGTAGGTGCGGAGGAGGAGGGGCGGGTGGAGGCGGAAGAAGAGGGGGGAAGGGGGGAATCTTCCAAAACCATGCCTTGCCCTAAGCATCCTTCTGAAACGTGACTTCTCTTTACGTGGCGCCCCTGATGAGCCCACGTAGTACGGCAAAGTACGGCACGCCGAAATGCTTGTTACTTTAAATCTTATCGTTGCGTTGGCCTTGCCGCGGCATTTGGTTGGTTTATGGATTCCGCAGGCAGTACCTGCAGTCGCAGCTGTCGGATCCGCAGCCCAATGACGGCGGCAGCGGCGCCTCCGCCGCCGCTGACCTGGCGGCCGCGCGCCGCCGAACCGCGCTGCTGCTACGGGCGCTGGATCTGGCGGAGGCCGTTGGCGACGCTGTCGTACGCGCCGGCGGCGCCGCCGTCGCGGCAGCGGGGAGTGCTGCGAGGGGCGCCATTGCCGCCAGCGGCGGCGGCAGTGCCGCTGCCGCGGCTGCCACCGCCGCCAATGCGGGGCCCGCGGACGTGGAGGCGGAGCTGGAGACCCCGCCGCCACCAGCCGCCGCCGCCGCAACCATCGTACTTCCGCATGGCATGGACTCCCGCCAATGGAGTGAGGCGGCGGAGATGGCCGTAGCGCAAGTGCAGCAGCAACAGCCGGCGGCGCCGCCGCCGCCGGAGAATCAGACACGGTCGGCGTCGCCGTTGCAGCCCAAATGGCGGCTCGGCCCCTCCGCTCCATCAGCCGGCAGCAGCAGCAACAGCGTCGATGCCGTACCCGCTTCTACTGCTGCCGCATTTAGTAACTCGCCGCCGCCGCCGCCGCCCCCTGTTCCGCGGGCGCCATCACCATCCGTGGTCGGCAGGTTGAACGACGCGCTGCGCAGCGCCGCTGACGCTGTCGTACGGGCCGCATCGCCATCATCAAAATCCTCTGCCGCTGCCGCTTCACGCGCTGGCAGCCCTGGCGGGCCCAGCGGTGGCGGCAGCAGCTCCCGCTCGCAGCCGGATACGCTCGAGCTGATGACGGCTTTGGCAACCGCTAGCGCTCTGAGCAACGTCGACAACGGTTTGCTACCCGGCTGGCCAGCGCTCAACTTCCCGAAGGCCTCCGCGGGCCAGATGCCGCAACAGCCACAGCTACAGCCAGTCCCTAAGGCTGGTGATAGTGAGCAGGAGGAGGAGGAGGAGAAGGATAGGGGAGAGATGGCACCGGCAGCGACAGGGCGTCGCGGGCCGATAGCGAAGGAAAGGCAACCTGCGGCGGCGGCGGCGGAGCAGGATAACGTCCCACTGTTCTCTTCCCTTTCCGCGCTTTCAGCGTCGTACAACGCGGCGGAGGCGACGGCCTTGGCGGATATGTGGAGTAACTGGCGGCAAGATTTGGAGGCGGTGGCGCCGCCGCCACCCGCGTTGCCGTCCTCGGAGGATTACGATGATGAGGATGATGAGGGTGAGGTGAAGGGCCGCCGCGACAGCGGCTCGGGTGATAGCCCCAGCGGCAGCCGCTTCAGCGAGAATGACGGACGCGGTCGTCTGTACGGCAGCGGTGACACCAACGCAGTGGCGGCGTCGGCGGCGATGCCACACATGGACCTGGCGGCAACGCAACGGTTTGGTATCCCGACACACGATCGACCCGCCAGCGCCGGCGCCAGTACGACAGCTGTCGGGGCTAGCAGTACGGCGCCGCTTGCTGGCGCCGCTTGGAAGAGCGCCACTAACAGCGGCGCCGATGGCAGCGGCGCTGTTGCCCGCCAGCAGCAGCAGCAGCAGCAGCGCAAGCCACTGCGCACTTCCTCTCCGGAACGGGCCGCTGCGGGAGGAGCCGCCCTACGGCGGCTGAGGATGCGGATGGATGCCAGGGATGACGACGGCTTGGCCAGCGGGGCGTACGGCAGCGGGAGCTTTTTCGGCGGCAGCAGTGGCGACGAGGGCAGCAACGGCGATGGCGGCGACGGGCCCGCGGCGGCGGCGACGGCTGCTGGCAAGCGGTACGGAAGCACGTCCGCGGCGGTGCCTGCGTCGGGGACGGCGTGGACGGAGGCCTGGGGGAGGAGCGCCGGCGCCGTCGACGGCGGTGGCGGCCGCGGCCTGCCGTCGTGTAGTCCCCATTCAGTGACGCGGCGGAAGCAGTCCTTGCGAACTGCTTCGCCGCAGCGGGCGGCCGCGGCGGCGGCGGCAATGCGGCAGCTGCGCGCTGAAATGGGTCTGCCCCCCAACGACGGTACGGACGCGGCTGACGCGGTATTCGCAAGGGATTGGCGGCGGGAGCTGGACGCCGCGGCGGCGGCGGCGGCGGACACAGAGCCGTCAGGTTCCGCGTCAGAGTCGGAGTGGGAGGCGGCGGCGGCGGCGGCGACGGAGCCGGGGGACAGGACCTCCTTGTACGGCTCCGTCGGGGGCACCGCAAGTAACGGCCGTACCGCTAGCGGCAGTATCAGGTCTCGCAACGCTGCGGCTGTGGGTGCTACTGCCGCATTCCCACGCTCTCCCAGCAACTGGCGGGTACAGGTGGAGGGCCTAGATCGTCCGGACAGCAGTACCAGTAGCAGCAGTAGCAGGGGGTTCGGAGGCGTTCCCGCCGACTGGCGCACTCGTATCGAGAGCGGCGCGCCCGCTACTGCTACTGCTATTGCTGCAGACGGGCTGAACGGCCAGGACAGCAGCGGCTCAGCAGCTGCAAGTATTGGTTCCGTGTACGATGATGACGTCAGCACCAGCGGCAACAACCGCTACAGCCGCGGTTCGCCATACCCTAGCTCCCCGGGGGGGTCCCGGGGGTCGAGCCGCAAGTTGGGGGCGGCGGAGCGGGCTGCCCGGACGGCCCGGCTGCAAGACTGGCGGGCGCGTGTGTAACACGGCTCCCTCAGGTTACACCCCCGCCAGTGGCAGCAGCAGCAGCAGCAGCAGCAACAGCAGCAACGCGGAAGATACGACTGCTGCTGCTGCTGCTGCACGGTCTGTGGTGCGGCAACAGCAGCAGTAGCTGCATACCGTAACCGCTGTTCTATAGCAGCCGATTCAATAGCAGCAGTAATGGGGCTTAGTGAAGAGCACAGCATAGGGGAGGAGGGGAGGGGAGGGAGGGGGTGGGTGTGGGGATGGGGAGGCAGTAGGATAAAGAGGAGGGTTAATGCCGGGAACATTTGGAGGGTCATCGCGCCCGGTTTCACCACCAATACAAAGCAGTTGACAAGCAGTCCGTAGCACCCATCCGTATCAGCGCTTGCAAGGTTTTGGTGTTATCGTACCCGCGGGGGCCCCCGCGGGGGCTAGGGTTCTTTCGCCGTTCTTGGCAGCTGGGGAGCTGGTGTGTGGCGCATCGGCTGCAGTTAGCTAGTTGGTTAGTTAGTTAGCTAATTAGTTGGTTGGGGGCAGAGAGGGGAGGTGTATGGTACCGGTGACAGCCAAGTATGTGCCCGCAGGGCGGCTGTGGTCTCCAGGACCTTCGTGTAAAGGCTGCTGGTCCGTATGGTGCCGGCCGCAGGAGACGATAAGTACTTGTCTGACTCGATTTTTGTATGTATGTCGTGTGTGTGTTTGTGTGTATGTATGTGTGTGTGTGTTTGTGTGTATGTATGTGTGTGTGTGTGTGTACGTATGTGTGTGTATGTATGTGTGTGTATGTATGTGTGTGTATGTATGTGTGTATGTTTATGTATGTGTGTGTATGTATGTGTGTGTATGTATGTGTGTGTGTGTTTATGGCGCTATAAGCCGGGGCCGCTCCGGCCTGCCTGGTGCCAACGGGGCTCAGTTGGAGGGTGGTTGGGGTGGTTGACGTTCGTTGGGGGTGAATTGGAAGATGAGACAAGACGAGGGGGCTAGGAAGAGTGAAAGCTTTTTCTTAAGCTTTTTTTCCTTTTTTGAAGCCGTTCGTTGTTTTTTGATATCGTCGCCTCTAACACAGCTAAAGTCGGGTTTCTCGTGCTAAGTTATTGCGTGCGAGTGCAAGAATTGGGAGGGGGAGTGCGGAGTGTGAGGGAGAGTATCACCGTCCCGCAAAAGGTTAGTTGTGGTATCGTCATCGAGCTAGATGACTGGTGTTTTTGCATCCTATTTATTTCCATTGCAATTGTTGTATTAGATGGCAAAGAATACTCGTCTGTACAAGTGTATTGCCGTACAGTTATGCGCATTGAGAGCGGGTGTCGAGGGTAGGTGAAGCATCAAATGACGAACACCACACTTGGGGACGGGGAGGGGGAGGGAGTTAAAAAAAGGGGATGTGGAGCAGGAGCTGGTGGTGGAGGATGGGCAGGAGGTGTCGCCGGCGGCGGCGGTGGCGGCGGCGGATGATACGGGAGACGGGGTTGGTATGAGTGTGTGTGTGTGTGTGTGTGTGTGTATACTGATGAGCGATGATTACGGACTGGGGCCATATGTATTGGCTGCGAGTCGAGTAGCAGCGGTCAGATGACGGCTTTGCATCACTGAAGAGCTTATATGTATTATCTCTGTATATCACCGTCGCCGTCACTGAATAGGAAAAGGGTTAAACGACGAGGTGGAAAACGGCAAGGAGGCGACGCCGCGGCCTAGCTGGTCAAGTACGTCCGCCCCTTATTGGCTACTGTATATCACTGTGTATATCACTGTAAATCATTGCCCGCTGACCGGCAGCTTAGGGATGGGGCAGGGGCAGGAAGAGAGGAAAAACACAAAAGCTGTGCTGCAGGGTGCGGATGGAGAGGGTCTGCGGGAAGGGAGGGGGTCTACTGGTGCCGGGTGTACTTGATTTGCTTGCCACCATCACCGCAAAAAGACATTTTACGAGGGGAGGCCACAATATGATGTAAATAAAAAATAATATATATACTTAAACGAGGCGTAATGTTGAATTGTTATAAACCACAACTACCAGCGATTGCGCTGTTGAACGAACTGGTCAAATCTGCTCGTTAAGCAAACCACATGTCGTGTTCACTCACGAACGAAAAGTACACACTCATCACTTGCGGCTATTTATGAGCACGGCATTCCCTGACATCACGAACTGCCAACATCACGAATTGAAATCGCCACCAAGAACAAAAAAAGTATTGGCCGCATATTGCCCTACCAACCTGCCAGCAACTCGGGGCCAGCGCAACCCCGACCTGCGATTGCCAACTCCTGTATAGTTGCTGTGGATAGCTAGAGGCTCAGCTTCCCAACTAGCTGCCAAAATGCCGCAATTCCTAACCGACTAACCCACCCAACCTACTAATTAACCGCTGATGGCAACTGATTATTCGATCGACCTTCCGATGCGCGAGTGCAAAGCCGTTGCGGATGTGGTGCAAAGCCCTTGTTGATGCATATTCGTGAGCCTTATGATGCATATTCGTAGTCGCACTGCAGATGTACGACTGCTGCATGTGTGCATGTGTGCATGTGTGCATGTGCATCATGGATTGCCACTGCACAAGGGTTATACCCCCTTTGTCACATCAAACACTGGATCACCACCCCCACCAATCAACGAGCCGAGCCATAAAACAACCTCTCCAGGAAAATGAATTCTCATCTTCATCTTCATCTCGCAGGCCGCAGGCCGCACCTCTGCTAGGCCCCACCATCACGATCACCCACATGCTGTCCTCAAGTGGTGCACACACATACACATAGACGCACACACACACACACACACATACAGGCAGGCGGCTGGCAGAAGTTAAGGCCTGACTTCTGCTCCCAGTCGATCCAGTAGACCCGGGTTCAAATCCGCCTGCCAGCTCCTCGGGTGTTTGAGGAGTGATGAAATGGGAGGTGGCCCCCCATCATATGGACGGTGTAGGACGTGATAATATCAACTTGCGAGCTGACCAGGAACTAAGTTGATGCGCCGTTGATCCGCTAGATTTGGTTGGATGCTGGTGGTGAGTTGCCGAACCCAACGAATACATTCTGAAGTCGGATGGGGTGACGGATTAGGGTGCCCCTCTAGCAGGGGAGAGCAGGGACTGCCCCGGGAAAGGGGGCCGCTGGCGAAGTTAACCACCCTGTAACAACATACACATGTGTGCAATGGCCGGGAGCTGTCGACGTACCGCCGTACTGCTTGATTGCCTAAAGACCTATCGTCGAAGTTTACCTAGTTTGGTCGTTAGGTCGTTAGTTGGTTAGCCGTTACCTACTTAGTGGTTGTCCGATTGTCCGTAGCACGTCATCAGCTAACGAGCATACTTCACGAGCGCAGTTCTCTCAGTGCAAGATAGCTAAATGTAGCTTCTAATTGCAAACAGCTCTTGCATACACACACATGCATAAATACGGCAAACACCAACAACTCCACCATTTCCACCCGTACGACACCACGACTTTCTACTCTGACAAGCTGACCGCCGCATGGGCCGAGTCTCTACCCGACTTGAGCACATGTTAGGTAGTCTAAGTAGTTGGTTAGGTAGTTAGGTAGGTACATGCCTTGCCTAGCCTGCATGAAGCACTGCTGCCTGGATGCCCAAATCAATTCTGCGAGGCCCCCCTGGAGGACTCGGGTTCACCTGCAGGCCCTCACCCCGTAAGCGACCGAAGCAAAGGCCACCGATTTGCCAAGGTACGCATCCAAAGACCGCTCCAACCGCTCTCACAAAGGGCCATTGCTTCGCCCCTCACGGACTTCCCAGAGGAACCCCGAGACAGCTTAGCTTGACACCGCCGCCGCCGCCACGGCCGCCACCGCCACCACCGAAACTGCCGCTGCCGAAACCGCTGCTACCGCCACCGCCGCCGCCACCGCCGCCGTTTCCTCACTCCCTTTCATCCAGCCTCCTGGCCCTCTCCGCTAGCCTCTCCACTTCCCGGGCGTGGTTGACCAGCTTCCACTCCTCCTTGGTAAGGATCGCCGGCTGGGGCAGACCTAGCTCGCGGCACGCGGCCAGCAGCAGGTCGTGTCCGAAAGGCGGCTCCACCCCCTCGACCGGAGACCCGTCCACAGAGCGGCCCTGGAAGTACTTGTTTCGGAGCGAGTAGACCAACACCGACAACATCTCGTGCTGCTGCTGCTGCCGCCGCTGCACTAGCAGCTGCTGTCGCCGTGCATGCGGCAGCAGCAGCTGCTGATGCGGTGGGGGCGGCGGCGGCGGCAGCTGGTGGTGCTGGTGGTGGTGGTGGTGGTGGGCATGCGCCGCTTGGAACACGCCGCCGCTGCCGCCGCCGCCGCCGACACCGGCGGCGGCGGCACTACCGCTATAGCCGTGGCCGGTGGGCAGGGGCATTGGCATGGCAGCCGCACCTGCAATCCCCGGACTCGCACCTGTTGAGGCCGCTAGTGCCGCTAGTGTCGCTGTTGCTACTGCTGCCGCCGCTGCGGGCGCTGTTGCCACCACAGTGCGGTCGCCGCCGCTAGCGCCAGCTGCTGCTGCGGGGGCAGTTCCCGCGCTGCGATAATCCCCGGGGGTGTCGTCACCGTCACCATCCCTCAAATCAGCACTGGCGACGCCATCATTGTCGTACACGTCGTCGTACTCGTCGTCGTACTCTCTCGCCGTCGACATGTCCTCCGCCAGCTCTCCCGTCAGCCGAATCAGCGCCTCCAGGTGGGTGATCCCCGCGTCGAAGTTTCCAGATCTAAAGGCCGAGTGGTACGGCAAGTACGAGTGCTGCGACTGCAGCAGTAACGCACGCCTGCAGATCGCGTCATGCGGAAGACAAAATCAAAATGTGGGCAAACATGCGACAGGGAAACCCCGTCGCTCGGAAAATCAATGCACGGAAGGCGTGTGTAAAGAATGAGTAAAGAGCCTTAAGGATAAAAGGTTGCCTAATCTTGAGGTTGCCTTTTGAGGCTCGTGTCATGCACACGTTTCAAATCGTTTCTCAAAACAGTGAAAAAACAAAAACCTATAACCCGACTTCGTACTAGCAGCCGGCAACCGAAGCATATGGTAGTACGGCAAGCTAATGTACGGCACATGTCGTACCGTGTGGCATGTTTAAATACCAGCTCCACCAATTGATCGCGGAACCCATAGCGGCAAACTCTGTGAAGCGGTGTTGCCTTGCAAATGTCGTCTTGGGCCTCCAGCAGCCGCCGCCAAAGTGGGATACCTACACGGCCTATGGCCGCCTGCGGAGGTTAGGATTGTCCTTTCGGCTTGGATGACTTGAAAACAGGGGGGATGCCCGGGGAAACTGAAACCCCAAGTTACCGTCAACCGCCAACCGCCCAACCAACGACTAACCACCCAACTGAATCCGCAGAGGCTTTCACGCCTCTCCCATCCGCGCGGCGCATGACTTCAGCAAAATCCCCCCAGGTGGCGTGTATCTTGCGGCAGGCGGCTGGCAGGCTGTGGCAGGAAAACATGGTCTTGTGAAAACTGCGTTACACAGTACTTTTGCCGCACCTGCATCATCTGCACTGCCACCTCCTCCGCTACCGGGAAGTTGGGGTCGGTTGGCGGGATGGCGGACTGTACGGCGCCGTCGTCCCAGTGCGTCAGCGGTGTTGCCAGCCAATGCGCTAACCGCTGACCGTTGTCCGACCGCATTGCAACCAGGAAAATAACCGGAATACTGTCGAGCAACTCCCGCCAGCGATTCAGGACCTCCGTGCCGAGGAGCGCTCTGCCGCCACCGCCGCCGCTGCCGCCGCCGCCGCCGCCGGAGGTGGAAGTGGCGGCGGCGGCGGCAGCGGCGGCTTGCGGCACAGAATTCCCACAGCCGCTCCCGGTCCCAGAGCCAGGCCGGCGGGCGCCCCCGGGGGGTCTTGACCCCACGGGTAGGCACCGGCTCGCCGTCGGCAACAAGCTGATGTACGGCACCTGTGGCGGAGGCAGCAACCCCATCCATCAAGGATGCCGCCGCCGTCGCCGCCGCCACCGCCGCCACCCGCCCCTCACCGGCGGTCGTTGGACGTGACGTACCTGGCCAGGGCCCACCGACGGCCGAGGCTCTCAAGTCGCCACCGATTCCGGCAGAAACGCCTTGAGCAGCAGCGGCAGCGGCGGCAACGGCGGCAACGGCAATAACGGCGGTGGCCCCAGTATGATCACCTTCCGCGCCACCAGCCCACCCAGCGTTGCCGCTGCCCTGGCGGCCAAACTCCGCTTCGTGGCCTCCTAACAGCGCCGCCGTGTACGGCCCCAACGGACCCCGCCCGCCGGCATCTCCACCAGCGCTGCCGCTGCCCACACGTGGCAAGGACAACAGGTCCCCTGAACAAGCCATCGCCGCCGCCACCGCCGTTGGTGCCACCGCCGCCGCCACCGCCGCCGCCTTCGAGCGCCTGCCTCGAGTCGGGGACTGTGATGGCGGCAGCAAAGAGCCGCCCGCCGCCGCCGCCGCCGCCGCCGCTGAACCTGACGGATTATGGTGCGCTGCCGTCACCGCTGGCGCCGCCGTGTCACGGGGGGCCCCCTGGGCCGCCGCGGCGGACGCCGGCTCATCCCCCGTGCGCTGAGGCTTCACAAGCCAGCCAACGTACGGCGGGTTCTTGGGCAGGTACAACTCCAGGCTGGGCTTCCCGCCGGATGCACGGAAGGGCTTCTTGTCGTACTCGGACACCGCGCCGCCGCCGCCACCAGCAGCACTTGGAATCCGCGCATATCCGAGCTTGAACATGCTGACCTGTGGGTTTGTCGGTGCCGTACATGTCAACTTATCGATGCCGTACATGCTTACATGTCGGGTTAAGTCGTTGTACGACACCCAAGGTGGAAGCAGCCAAGGGCCTGAGGCACATGTGAATGCAGGTGTCCATAGTACCTGGTGAACCTGATACGTGCGTGTGTATGTGTGTATGTATGTATGTATGCACACAGGCATCATTCGTAACCCGATCCTCGTATACGGCCATGTACGGGTGTACGGGTGAGTTGATTGACACACATCGTGTCAGTGTGTGTATCCTACACAGAAAGACCAAACACGGCTGGGGGTGCCACCTGCCCGCCGTGCTGGGGGCCCCCCCTAAAACCCCCATCACCACACACACACACACACACATCGCGGCCAGAGCAGCCGTTCAGCTCTTGTCAACGGCCAGAATCCGGTCACAGAGCATCGGGCCCGCCACTAACCCGGGCCCGCCAGACACAACCCAGAGCGCACAGACTGACTCTTACCGTCCAGAACGGGTGACCTGCGGCCTGGCAGCTCGCGGAAGACAGGTTCTTGGCCGTGTTGAAGGTGTAGGTCTTCTGGCAGCAAGCGCACCGGCGGAAGTACGTCGTGGTGACGTAGGCGCCCGCCTGGACCTCCGTGGGCTCGGGACCCGACTTGGTACCGCCTATGCATATACATGTATGATGTGTTAAACAGGGGGGTGTATCTTCGCCCGTGGCAGCTACCCTGCGAAACCCTGCCTTCCCCGGTATTTCGGGGCACCCTCATCCAGTCATCACCCTAGTCAACTTCTCAGTGGATCGCTCAGGTTCCGCACCCACCACCAGCATCCAACGGAATCTGCCGGATCGACAGCGGCCCAACTCCATTCCTGGTCGGCTCGCAGGTTACCTTTATCCCAGGTCACCACCGTCCATCGACTAGGGACACTTTCCCTTCCACCATCGGAAGGATGTTCGACCCTGACAGGTCTCGACCAGTAGTGCCTAACCTATATTATCCCGCGAATCCCTCTCTCTCCGCCACGAAAAAGTACGTATGCATCCATACATACGGGCATACACATGGACATACATGCAGAAGCGAAGGCAGGCTTTCGTCCAAAGCTCCTGACCCGACTGCATGAGTTTGACGGTATATATATCCAACGATTGCAACGCCCCTACCTAATGTTTAATACGCGACACCAGCCCGGAGGGTGTACCTGTCCAACGGAGCCGCACCTCTACTCCAGTCGCCCGGACAACAGAGCATGTACCGAAGCGGAGCATCAAAGGGTCCCGTGTGTTCATTCATTCCCCACGCGCTCCTGCCGTACCGTACATGCATGCTGTGTGCCGTATACCCTGAACGTCGTACGCACCTGGGTTTGTACGGCTGTCCGACGGGTAGCCCTCCGTGATGAAGAACGTACCGCTGTCCCCCGGCGGGTCTTCCCACTGCCTCGGGAGCTGCAGGGGTCCCCTCGCGGAGGCGAGCTCCAGCAGCTTCTGTCCCACCATCAACAGCCCCTCCTTCTTCCTCTTGCCGCTTGATATCAGCAGACCGTAAACCAATTTGCACCAGTCGTTATGCTGCTGCTGGTGGTGGTGCTGGTGCTGTAGCTGTTGCAGCTGTTGCGGCTGGTGTGGCTGTAGCTCTTGCTGTAGCTGCTGCTGTAGCTGCTGCTCTTGCTGTAGCTGCTGCTCTTGCTGTTGCTGTTGCTGTAGCTGCTGCTGCTGTTGCAGTACTTGATGCTGCAACTGCTGCTGCTGCTGTTGCAAAGAATGGTAGGACAGTTGCTGTCCAGAACGGAATTCAACGCCTTGCTGCTGCTGTTGCTGCTGCTCGTGAAGATGGCCGGCGTGGATCGGGGCATGTTGGTGCAGCGTGTAGGGGACTTGGAAACGCTGCTGTCGCTGCTGTTGCTCTAACTGATGCTGATGCTGACCGAGGAACGACGCCACCGCATGCGGCTGTGGGGAGTTCACGAGGTCCGGAGACGTGAGTGATGAGGGAGCTCCGAGGGGTGGTCCGGGAGGGTATTCCAGCCAGGGGGGCCCAGGAGCGGCGGCTACCAGAGGGCCTGGAACCAGTTCCCGAGTGGCAAAGACCTGGCTGGCCTGGGCTGGCGGTGAAGTTGTTCCCCGCAGTGCCTGTGCTGGTGCCAGCGCCGGTACTGCTGCTGCTGCTGCTGCTGTTGCCAAGAACAACGCTGCACCCACGGCGGCCCCCGGGGGATGTTGTGCCCCATTGTGAGGCGGTCCCCCCAGTTCCGCGTGAGCTGCCGCCTCCACGGAAGCTGCGACAGTCCAATGGCAGTCACTTCTAGGCGTTGGGGCGCGCTGCTGCTGCTGCTGCTGCTGCAGTTGCAGTTGCAGTTGCACCTCCGCCTCATCTTCCTGCCGCAACCCCCGGCGCTCCCATACAGCGCTCTGCTGCAAACCGTAATCCGTTTCAAACGCCGCCACCGCTGCGCTGCTCCGGCGTACGGCAGCAGCCTCGGCAGCATTCGTAGCCTCCCTTGCCGAGCCGGGCCGAGCCTCGGCTTCTGTCTCCTCATCTGTCAATGGCTGGGGCGGTAAGGGTCCGTGAAGAACCTCCAGGAAAGAAGCTAGGCCTCCAGTTAAACTTATCGACGGTGTTGCAGCTCTAGGAAACAAGGCCCTGGAAGATCCAGAGGAGCAGGTCGTGAAGGACTGCTGCTGCTGCTGCTGCTGCTGCTGGGGTTGCTGGGGTTGCTGCTGAGCAGGTTGGCCGGAGGGCGGGAACAAGGCTTCTGACATGGGGCTGGGGATGTGCGTGGCTAGGGGCCGCCGGGGCTGGCGATGCGGCTGAGGGCCGGGGCGCGCGGCGAAAATCGGGCTTGATGTGCGTCTGCTTGATGCCCCTGTCGTTTGAGGTAATCGCAATCAGTGGTTCAAATCATGTGGCAATTACTAGTAAGTGCAGCAGTATGAATAACTTCACGAGTGTAGAAAGCCATCTATCCGTTCATCGATATTCAAAACGTCGAGGGCTGGACAGACTGCATAAATTATAAATCATTAAACATTACAAATTAATATTTTTGATCCAATCACTGCGCCTCCTTAACCTTGGCTCCATCACGGGTTCCACCCGTGAAAACTTGTCCTTGAGTTTTCGCAGCGGCCTGCTGTCTGCAAAGCCTGGAAATTATTTCAATATAAAATAAATCAAATATACACAACAAATGCGAGCTGGACGCAAGCAATAAAACTGTTACAGTTTCATTCGGTTTACCGTTGCGCTTCCGTTACTGTAACAGAAGTTTTCACTAACTGTCCATGGGCCCCGAGCAGCGATTTTCGGCTGCGGGTGGACCCGCAGTAACCGCCTTATTTGCCAACATCTGCTGGCATTGACGAACCCCTCCGCACTTGTGCAGACACTGCAACTTTAACCGTTAACGAAGTTGGAGGCCGGAAACGCGATGCTTAGCAATCGGCAGCCCACGCAACGATGTGAATATAATAAATACACCAACATAGAAAAATACATAATTCCAGTTAACCGTCTTACCTGTTCTTCCATATTTTCCCTGTTGGCACGCATCCTGTGGGCGCTCCTGTGGGCGCATTTACACCTACGTGCCCGGCCCCCGGTGAGGCAAAACAGCAAATATAAAAGAATACCAAGGGAGAAGAAAGCGTAAACAAGCGGAAATGATCACACATTTGAAAACGCTACATGATGTGTGGGACAAGTTTAAGGAATGCGGTGCTTTGCAACCCAAGTCCGAGCAAATCTGTTGTATGGCTGCCAGGCGTGGGGCCCTTTTGCGCTGGCGGAGGTCGTGGACGGGGCGGGAAGGCGGCGGGATAAAGCCAACCTTGCGGAGGGCATGTTCGAAGCCTGTTTGAAGGATAGCGCAGTCCAGCTGCAGACTTTATTCATGAGGCAGGTAGTTTGGGCGGCACGGCCATCCCACCGGAGCTGGCTGAACTCCCCTTACAGTATTACATGGTGAAACAGATCCTCCGTTTCTGGAACCGCCTTCAAAAACAAGTGGGGTCCATTGCTCATGCAGTTTTACGGCAGGAGATAACCGATGCCCTGACCAACCCGGAATGGGAGGGTTGGGGAACCTCAATGTTACGACTGTTTTCCTTCTTGGAGTGCAATATTTGGAGCGGAATACCGCAAGAAGTCGTGGGGGTAAAGGAGCGTGTTGACTGGTTGTTGAGTAGACCCCTACCCGAAGGAGCGATGATAACGGCACTAAGAGAGCGTTTGATGAGCGGCCGATACGTTGATGATGAGCGTTTGATACGCGTCTGACTGCCTTGCCAGAGGAGTACCCATCAGATGGGAAGCAACCGGGAGTGCAAATGGCGAAGTATAAGCACTGGATGGGGCTGCCCTTTTCGGGAGCCGCAGCCGTCATGTGGCCAACACATGCTCGTTTAGCACATCGTAAGCTAATGCAGTTCCGTTTATGTTGCTGGGCTCTGGAGGCAAAAAGAGCACGAAGAGGCAAGTACCATGTCCCCAGGGGGCAGCGGTTTTGCCGCTGTTGTGGTACTAATAGCCGAATCGAGGGATGAAAAACACGTGTTATTGGAATGCCCAGCCTATAATGATATTTGTGCTGAAGAGGGATTCGATCATCAACAGAGCATGTTGGAGGCCATGAAATGGGAGCCAGTACGTCTGGCGAGGATGTTGGAACGTATGTGGGCTCACCGAAACTCAATTACCCCCTTTGGACGCTATCTGGGCTGATGTGCGGTGTTTCCTTTTCTCCGTGGCTTTTAGGCGTTGTAGTATTGCCTTGGGGCCTTCGGCCCGTATGGGTAGTTTTACAGGTATGGGGTCACGCACCCCCCAACCATGTAACACACACACACACAAGTTTAAGGAGTCCCAACAGACCATCTAACCTACACTGCAACATCAACGCCACACTTTGCTGCTGTTCCTAGGAAGGCCGGTTGGCCGATTCGGTCATCCTATCGAAGGTAAGGGCCCATAGCCGCACCTGATGGGCACTCTCCGAGCGCCGGCTAAACGCCCGAGGCTGTGACGCCGAGCGGCGCAGAAGAGGCACCCTAGGCATATTGGGGCACCCGACCCTTCTCCCACTTCTCTGCTTGACTCGCTTGTAAGGAAAGAGCGTGGAGGTTTGGTGTCGTGCGTAGGGGCACCGAGTGGGAAAGCTGACCTCAGTCCGGGACCGCAGGGTCCTCCCTTGTTGACCGTTTAATTGGGGGGGGCCTCTTGTAGGGCACGGCGCGGTCAATGTGTCATGTGTTGTTGATGCCACCGGCCCTCTTCCCGCTTCCGCCGCGGCAACAGCAACAACAACAGCCGAACCCACGGGACCTGTACGAGAAAATGTGTTTTTCACCTCCATGGCGGCGATGGGGAACCAGGGAGGGCTGTCTGCCGCCGCGGCCGTCGTCACGGGGTCACCGCTGCTGGCGACGGCAGGGTCGCTACCGCCGCCGCCGCTGCCGCCGCTAAGCCCACTTGATGGGCCGGTGGCCGCAGCGGGTTTGTTTTCTGCTGCCGCAGGACAACGCGGCAGTGCCCTGCGGCCCTGCGCCAGGTCCAAGCGCCTCTGCGACGATGAGCTATATAAAATTAGGTGGTGCGGGGTGGTGCGGGGTGGTGTGGGGTTGGGGAATGGCGGAAGTGGAAGGTCGAAATTGTGATTGAAAACTAACTGGGCGCGCGGGGGGTGGGTGGGTGGGTGGGCATCAACATTTTTGCCAGTGCGGTTGCCAAGCCACGGCTTATGGCATCCTCGATGGGGGACTGCATCTTGCATTGTCTTGGCGGCTCCTCTGGTCCTCCCCTCATCCCCTCTCTCCTCAGCTCTCCTTTCCTCCCGCCGTGTGGCCCCCTCTCCTGCCTCCACTCCTTCCCCCATCCGCTCGTCCTCTAGGTTCTACATGCAGGCGGATTTGAGATCCACTCACCCTCTCTCTCTCATCTCTCCCGGCCTGAACCCCTCGCCGTCTCTCTCATCTCTCCCTGCCCTGCCCTCTGTTATCCGTACCCTCCCTCCCTCCTGTTGCCTCTTCCCCTTATCTAGTCTTGCACCCTTCACCTCTCACGCCAGGCTGTCACGACATTTTAGTGTCAGGTTCATTTTACCGTCTTTCATACTCGTCTTAGGTTACAATCGGTATGAATACGCGAATTTCGTGTTGTCGTTTACTCGCGTAAGGTGTTTGGTAACTACCTTACATTCGCTTCGCTGATCGATTTGTGGTCGAAATGCGAATGTACACTCGTTTGCATATGTTTACGTATTTTACCTGTGAATTATCCATTTCTTGTGTGAATGTTTTGTCACACCAAGATAATGTGCTTTACCTGTGTCATTCGTGAACTATACGTCGTAGTCGTACTCGAGGCTTATCTTTTGAGGGCCTCCTGTGATCGATAGCTTGACTTCGGTATTTATAGCCGGCAGCGAGCTTGGTAAAGTCGCTTTACGGCTCTCTCTCTTATTGGAACGTTGTAAGTTCTGTGAGCTAGACAATAAGCCCTGTGCGGTCCTTCCTTTTGTCAAACGCATAAGTAAAATCCCTTAACCAGCCGAACTCCTGTGTGGGCTAATCAGGGCTCATAAACTTCACGCCGGGCATACTCAGTCGGTGAGGTAAATCCTCGTCGTTGTTGATTGTTGCCTGGAGGAAACTGTGGCGTTGCCACTCGCCTCGTGTCGCGACTTGCCCTTTTTGTCGTCAAGTCAGCACTTCAAGCTACCTGCAGGTCCTTGCCAGACCACCCTGCCCACCATAGCCGTAAAGCCTAAATCAGGCTTATACACCAAGTAAGTTCGGTTTTGGGTTTCACCTTAGGTGTTCTGTCGCCTAGGGGACATTTGGGTTGCTTTTCTCAGCACCCTTTCTAACATTATTGTTATATTACACATTCAGCCCACCTGAACAGCAGGTTCGAGCTTTTCTGTGCTTAACGAACATTTCGCGTACCTCTGGCTGCACCATGAGTGCTCACATATTGTCACTAGCACCAATTCGCTCCTGCAGTGGACCACTACAAGGCAGATAACCCAAGGCCACTTAGAGGACGCGCGGGTCGCAACCCTCTCGGTGTGCGCAGCCGAGGTTTCTATAATCGAGGTGGCCGGGGCCAGCAGGACCACTGCAGGCGGCTACAACAGCCCCTCAATCCACATTTGGTCGATCCGTTGGACCAGGATTCGGAACCAACCGATATAGGTATTTTGGCTAGAGGCGTGCGATTCGATTTGGAGCCACGCCCAGCCATTTTTCGTATTGGATATAGTTCAGTTGGACCCCGAACTGGAGCAGCTTCCTCGGCCAACGAGCTTCATCACGGCGAGCTCCCAGGCCGGGAATGTTCGATTATTTCTACTTGAGTACGGGGACTTGTGCTCTCCACCACACAGTGACATGATGGAGTAAATGCTGTAAGCTTATCGGTACTCTCCTCTTTCCTGACGCGGTCTCCACTGACTGTAAAACTGCGTCGAATTGTGCTGCACAAAGAAGAGTAGCTGTGTGGCTACAGTTGGCCTGATTTATGGAGACCGCGTCAGGAAAGAG